CCTGCAACCGTCGTCACTAGCCGCAGAGACGGCTCCGACAAAAGGAACAGTGGCGGCTCTGCCCGACCAGAGGAAGTGACACCCGAACTGGCCGAAGTTCAGAAGTAATCATGCCCGACCTGACGGAGGCCTGGAAGTGAGTACGCGAGGTGGTTATAAAAGGATTCTACCCCCCCAGGGAGGAGGTATGCTAATTCTCGCGCTATCTGGTTATTCTTGCCTTTGAAGGATTCTAACTTGAGCTTCGGAGCCCGTACGCCGGGTTCTCCCCGGAGCTTCTCTTCTCCCATTTCAGGTTCCTGTTACTCACTCCAGAGGCAAGATCGTCAACAGCTAAGACCGGCCAGATTGTGCATCATCAGAATGGATGGCCCGTTTTGACAAAAACAATTATAAGCAAAAAACTATGAAACCGTTCTAGCCACCGGTTTTTGGGTCGATGGTTCGATCATCCGGTTTGAATGGGTGATCCATTTTGACAACAAAAATTATAGGTAAAAAAATGAGTTTGTGAGGTCCATTAAGTAGTATCATACATGTTATGTCATTCGAGCGTGTGACTCATACGACCGGAAAACGAAACTGTTATGGCTATCGGTTTTTGGATCGACCGTTCGGTTCGAACAGACAGCCCGTTCTGACAACAAAAAATTACGGAACCATTATGGCCACTGGTTTTCGGGTCGACGATTCGAACGTATGACCCATTATGACAACAAAAATTACAAGCAAAAAATTGAGTGTGTGAGGTCCATTAAGCAATATCATACGTGTTATATAATTTGAGCGTGCAACTCATATAACCCGAAAATGGAGCCATTCTGGCTATCGATTTTCGGATTGATGGTTCGACCATCTAGTTCGAATGGATGACCCGTTCTGACAACAAAAATTAAAAAAAAACGGCCAAAAACCATTGAACGAGTCAACGGGTTAACGGTTCAACCACTCAGGTCAATGGTTGTTGACCGATTCAACGATTTTTGGGCAAGAACCGGGATTGGGGTAAAACAGAACTGGTTGCCTAGACGGTTCCCAATTAAAAAATAAAAAAAACGGATAACCCGTTCTGACAAAAAAAAATATAGGCAAAAAATTGAGTGTGTGAGGTTCATTAAACAATACCATACATGTTATGTCATTTAAGCGTGTGACTCATACAACTTGAAAACAAAACTGTTCTACCCACCGGTTTTCGGGTCGATGGTTCGATTGTTCGGTTCGAACGGATGGCCCATTCAAACAACAAAAAATAAAAATAAGAAAAATGACAAAAAAAACATTGAACGGGTCAATGGTTCGACCGCCTGGGTCAATGGATCGTTGACCAATTCAACGATTTTTTGCCAAGAATCGAGATTAGGATAAAACGGAACCAATTGCTTGGATGATTCCCAATTAAAAAAATAGAAAAAATGGCCAAAAACCATTAAATGGGTCAACGGGTCGATGGTTCAACCACTCGAGTCAATGAATCATTGACCGATTCAACGGTTTTTGGCCAGGGACTAAATCAACGGGTCGACGATTCCATTCCAGCCCCTGTGAAGTAGGGCCCCTCCGCTAATAAAAATTATTATTATTATAGGTTGCTCAAAGATTCCATGGAAGTGCAACTCGTTGGTTGAAGACTAAGCAGCTAGCTCAGTAGAACTCAGCAAGGATTGCCTACAACCACATGAATAGGGAAGGAAATGGTGCAGCTGATTGGTTGGCAAATAAATCCCAAAATCATGAGGAGTGCTTTTTTCAGGATTCCCCCCCCCCCCTAAGAGTTTTGATTCTTAGTTTTTTCTTAATGCCGTTGGCAGAGCAGCCAGAGCTCTCCCCACTAGTGCTGATTTTCTCTCAATTTATAAAAAATAAACTTGCAATTATGCCGATTTGATCCCACATCATACCTCCATATCTGGAGGGATGCCGAGTGACAATCTCAGTTGTTGGGTCTTTGGTAGGTCACAAGAGTTCAAAAACTACTCCATTGCTTAGAGACTTAGGCCCCTTTCATTTACAAATTTTTCATTGGTAAGTGTATTTATTCAAGTAAATATTTTTTGGATAACATTTATCTAAGTAAGTCAGTTTATTCATGTTCTTTTGATTCCCATGTAAATAAGATGGTGACTCTTTTATCCATAAAAAATTAATGTTAAAATGGGTAATCTTGTCCCATTATGCTTTATAAATTTTTCCCTCAGGTGGAAAAGTTATCCACTTGGGAGATGAATAAGTTTTACCTTGACAAATGAGGCTCTCTTTACCGTGTGACCCATTACTTATTACAAAAAGAGCACTTTAAAGTTGGTTAATAGGAAAGAAATACCCATTGACCAACTTTTCCCCTCTTGTTTACCAGTAACGGATGGGGCCTTGGATACTTGTATCCCCACCTCATTAGAGGCACAAGTCAGGCAGGTTAGGCCAGGTTTAAACTCAACCTAGGTCAAAGTCTGATTTGTCCAACTTGAGCTAGCCCCCACTAAAATTTGATGCACTTGGGGTTGGGCTTGAGCTTGGACTAAGCTTGGTTGGTCAATCAACCCACACTAAAATTTGATATAAATATAAATGAATGTATGCATGTGTGACCTGAGGACCAAAAATTCAATCCCACTGAATTTATTGTACCCACCCAAATCGCACCCGTATATCAGTTTCTCCACTTGGAAAAAAACTCTTAGAAATGCATATTATAAATTACGAGCCTTATGATAATGGCTGAAATAGCTGAATTAAATGACTTATCAATTTATCTTTTTGTGATAAAATAATTCAATAATAAAACATTCAAGGTAATAAACTAGTATTGAACCCAACATCAAACTCAGCCACAAAGGAGCTTGAGATCTCCTGAATGACTTGTTCAAAAGACAAAGTAATAACAAGTCAATCAATTCAGGCACTTCAATGTCTCCTAAATTTAATTTCTTTTCTTGATCTATGTTAAAGTAATTTTGCTCCTTAAATTGGTACTAGCATATAATTAGAATCGACTAATGACTGCCGTTCTGGTTCTGTTTATTTATATTTGACTATTGAAAGCACATGCAAGGTTCAAAATTTTGATATGATATATCCTGTATCGAGTGTATTATATCGTGTCTTTTGGGTCTTGATACACCTGTTTACAGGTGTTTCTGGCCCCCACTCTTTTTAATAAAAAAATACATGTTTTTAACTTCCCCAAAAACCATTAAAAAAAACTAAAAAGAAGTATTTTTCTGCATGTATCTAAATATCGATACGTCTATGCCAATACATAAAGGCATGTCGATATTTTGAACCTTGTTCTAGCTGGCACATGAATCAATCCACATGATCATAGACCAGTCCCATTTACACCCCATTTTCTCGTCCATTGTTATTTGTTGTGGATAGGGACCATCCACAGTGGTTCAATTCAAGAAAAAGGATTCGGTGTGTTATCGTTGCCCTTTACCCTATTTTTTACCGTTGTAAAAGTTAAGCTCTGCCACCATTCTCCTCCACCAGACGGGGCCTCTGCTCCATTCCACCACTCTCCTCCACCGGCCCACTGCTCTAATTTGTGTGGTTACTCTTTTTTTTTTCCATATATCTTACTAACTTACAATCTTTCTTTATTAACTTTGTATTAAATTTTAGTAATATTTTATGAACATTTTCTTTAAATATTGTACTTATTTCATAAATTTTATACTACTTTTTTTGTAAATTATTTTAAAAAAATAATGATTTCTGTAGATGTTTTTTCTTTCATAAATGTTAATAACTTCCGTTCATTTTTTTTTAACTTTTAGTCAGAGCTTAATATTACAACAAATTTCTAAACATTGAACTAATTAAATTATTTTTATTACCATTTTTTGTTAATAAAATATGATTTTCATTATTACATAAATTCATAATTGATATATTTTATTCTCTAATATTTGCCATATACGATAAATATATTTTTTATATTTATTAGTAATTACATATTAATATTTTATTTTTGCCATTGTTATTTTATATAAGAATTTTGTGTTTATCTCGATTATAAAATATAAGAATTTTTTATGCATAATTGATTTTGTAAGTTATCTATAAATTGTACATGAGATATATAGAATCAATAGATGCGGTGTGGACTTATCCACACCAGAGTTTGTCCATAATGTGCGGTGTGAACCATCCCACACCACCCAATTTCTAATCCACGCTAGAGAATGCCCCCTAAATGAATACCAAACTTGACCCACCAAGTGGCGTTCTACTCAATTAAGTCTATATTTGCAAATGTTTAAACGCTACAACGTCATTGGATCAGGTTTGGCATAAGCAAGCCTCAACCCATATCTGACACAAGACTCGATTAAGGCTTTACCCGACCCTAACCTGATAGGGTTGGGTCAATGCAGGTTTACCATTTAACCATACCCAAGATTGGCTTCAGTCAGTGCAAGGCCCCCGTTTGAACAACCTTGCATGGGAACATCTCCGTACTTCTGTGCTTTATTTCATGGGGAGATATTACCAATGCAAGGCTATAATGGCTGTTGGAACGGGTTCTGCACTGACTGAATCCGGTTTTCATGATATCATGCTGCGAAGGTTTATGTACAGAGCTTTTCTTTTTATGTCTGGGACTGAGAGTGCTGGCATTGCTCAAATTACACAGGTTATATTGCATTGCACCAACGGTGCACTTATTAACTGTGCTCAAAGAATCAGGGCAGCAGGATTCCGCTACCAGAGTGTGAATTACCTGCAATCAAAGATCCAGTGAGAACTTCTGGTTTCAAGCTAAAAAGTACTGACAAATGACAATCCGACCAATTGGCTTTCTGGATAATTTTGAGACATCACTTCACAGGTACAACAAAAGAAATGACATGAGAAACAAACCACTTGTAAGAACTTCAGATCTTTCACAAGTTCTTTCATCAACGTTATACCGTTTCTTTTACCAACTAGTTCATGAGGAATAGCAGAATGGCAGTTCTGATGCAATTATACTGGTTGCTCATTTTTGTAAGACATCAGCAGAATAATATCAACTGGCTGGAATTAGGCTGACACAGACCCAGCAAAACTGATAATAGCAGATAACAAGATGCATTCATGGCCTGAAACAGTGAGCAGTTATGGAGTTACAAACCACTGGTAACCGTTGCTAGAAGTGGCCTTCATGAAAACAAGGTGGTGAGTCATGGACATCATACTATCATAGATCAGACATGTCATCAAGTAAATTTCGTTTCCATGTGAATTACTAGGCTCCCTGCAGAAGCCTGGTTTGCTGCACGGTTGCTCCCAAAATTCTTTCGATTAGATTCTCTAGCTATTCTGGAACCGAACTGAAAAAAAAAAGTAAAGCGAAAAGTGTGAGATTTTGTAGCTATTGATTTTGAAATGCTAAAATAAGTAAGGTTCAGATTCATAAGATGGGTCTCTTACTCCTATTAGGCTCAAAGGTCAGCTGGATTGGCTATAATTGACAAAGGGTAAAAATACCTTAGTTGGGAAGGTTCGCAGGTTAAAAAGAAAAAAAAATAATATTAATTAATTAATTTTTGCATGGATCCAAAGTCTACAGATAAGAGTAATTTGTTTACCATATGTATTAACACAAAAAAACATGCTTCTGATAATGTAACCATACATTTCTAGGGAACACAAGAACAGCAATAAACCCTTCATTTTACCACCTATGGATGCAGGAGGAAATGCAAATGAAAAAATGGAATTCCAACATTGAAGACCTTTTAAAAGTAAAGACAATTTTATTAAAAAGAGAAAAAAAAAAGAAAAGCATACAAGACACATATAAGCATTGCAACTCAAGCTTAAAAGAAAATGGAGCAGGAAACCCCAAAAGGAACAAAGAGTGGAAGAAAAGAATTGCAAACCCTGTCAAAACAAAATACATCCAATCCAAATAATGCAATTACGAAAAAAACTAAAAGGATGCATCATAATTCAAATTCAAAATATATAAAAAGCACCAAAGCTAATGACTTGAAAATTGTATCTTGAATTTATATGATGAACTAAAGTAAAATAAATTTAGAGATGTAGACTGCAAGCTCCAAAATGATGTTTGATAGATTAAGAGAGAGTATAACCTGGATTGCTCTCTTGGGAAGACTTGCAGCTTCTTTTAAGCCAAGTAACCATGCAACCTTCAAGCAATTTCGTACATAAACCAGTCAGCATTCAACACAAGAAGTCAAGAACCCATCAATTTATAAGACAACTTACAAGCAATCAATTTTGTTAATATCATTAACATATGCTTGAACTATCCCAGAAAGGAATTGTCAAGCACAACTTAATGAGTTGAATTAAAGCACAAAAGCAAAACTTACCTTCTATATGGAATAGCATGTACTAAGAAAGCATCACTGTTTACAATGCTAGGAAACTCAGGACAGAAGTCCACAAGATTCAAAAGAAAGACACTAAAATTGCTACAGAAGAAGCTGATAGTTTGGTTTCACAAAAGCAGCTTAAATTCAATGAAAGAATCTTCTAATCTCACATGTATCTTTTTCAGTATTGTGGATATAAGAGGTTCTGGTTGGTCTTCAACCACCATGGCTTGCACTATTGCACAGGCAAATCATGAGATAGAAAAAGCCCTCATGGAGCTATAGAAAGTTGTGTTTTTAAGAAAGTCAAATAGGAATAAACATTTTAGTTCCTTATGATGCGCCACCATAACTTCCAAGGAGCAGCTGAACAATAACTGTTGTAAACTCACAACCGCTTTTACCTGCTTTAATACTTATTAATGAATTCTGTTTTCTGTTGCCGATAAAAAAAGGAGCAGCTGAATAAGCCAGCCATGTAGTTGCCTATCAGCCCATGGCAAATGGAATTCATATAGATGGTTTTGGTCAATAATATGGAAAGATCCTGGAGGTACAAATATATCATGAGAGAAGTGAAGGGCTTGATAAGGGAGATAAGAGTGTCCAAAAACTAGGTTCAAAGATCAGCGTATGGGTTAGCTGAAGCATTAGCAACAGTGTCAATAGAAGCCAGTTGTATCAGAGGATTGTTTTTCAAGCTGCTTGACCATAAAAGAAAATGTAAAAGATGCCATAAGGGTAGGGAGTTGGGGCTAGCCTATCAAGACAGTGCTTTGTGCAATGTAAAATTTGTACTTCCGTCATTTTCTTTACAATTAATGAAGCTTATGGTTGTTACTGATAGAAAAAGTAGCATTTTAGTGAATTGTCATTGTGGGAGCTTGCTCCAGGTATCTCTCTTCTCTGATGATTCTCTACTTTTTCTCCTAATCTTTCTCTATTAATTTGATTTTCTATATCAGATAGCAACTTTTTGTCTTTGGCTTTCTTTCTTTTAACCTCTTGTTGATTTCTAGGGTCAGCAATACCGCTGTTAAGATATTAAGAATTCCCAATACAAAGACAATGTTGGTTTAGGATTTTCAAATTTTCAGTGTCATTAAAAAGTTTGAAAGAAAAAGGAGCAAAAGAAATAGCAAGCACCTCTCTCAAAATCTTCTTATCACCTCTTCCAATTGGCTGATCAAGGTCAGCAACCTCACAGAGAGGAATATCCAGCAGAGTTCTGATAACATCTTCATCCAGGAAAGGAAATCTAGCCTAGAATACATAAGCAAACAGGCAATTACAAATTGTCACAATTCAATCAAGGAAAAACATATTGTTAGATTACCAAAAATTACCTCCTTGCCATTGTCAGAAATGCACCGGTCATCTCTCCCTAGGTTTCTTTTCCAAATTCTATGCATATCCAATTTCATTTCTTCGTGCAGTCCAAGCCATCTGATGACAGAATATAGTTCCAACATAATGAACAGAAACAAATTCAGAACTGAGAATATTAAAAGGGATCCCCCCTTCCTTGGTGGGGGGTTCAAGATGCCAGTATATAACGCAGGAAAATTACATTAACTCTCAAAATTTGCATACCATGAAGGTTAGTGCTCTTTTATTTGCATGTGATATTTTAAATTTTATTGCACAAGTGGATTGGCTTTTATCACAGAACATAAAGCTAAAGAAGACAGACCATCCGAATATACAGCTGAAAATAGAGTTCCATTGGGGGAAAAGACCTCTGGCTGCTACAGCTCACAGAATGAACTATGAATTTACTTATTTGTTTTTGATGGGAAAACACCAGAACAAGCTGGGTGAGCCCAATTGAACCAGTTTAAACCAGAACGCTGTATTAACCAGACCATGCTGACCCAAGACACCGAGGCACCCTGTCATGGAGGGGGAATCTGATCCCAGATCTGTGGCAACAACAAGCAACTTTACCAGATGAGCCACACAACTAGCTGGAATCTTCAAATTTAGGTTGAACATTTGTCTTCTGGAAACGGAAATTGCATTTTGTCATTACTTGTGGTGACCAAGATGCAATTCATATGAAAGTACATTTGAGGTCTAAACAATTTCCAAGCAAGAGAAGCAAAGATGCTTTTGAAAATAATCTGATGCAATCCATGTGAAAGTAAACTTGAACTCCTAACAGGTTCCAAGCCAGAGTAGAAATATCTTTGGGGCCAATAACCTGAGAAAGTGGACGGAAAATAAAAACCTAAAACAAGGAAAGGAAAAAGAAGCCAATGGGAAGACATGTCCTGAATCATGCACATAATTTCTTACTTCACAAAGCAGTCATTATACCCATGCATGCTTCCAATAAAAGGTTCTAATAAATGGTGAAGTCCAGGACACTTAGTTAGAACATAATAGATCTAGAAATACTTCCAAAAATCATACAAATACACACATATCTGATAGTTCACAAGACGCATCACAAAACTTGTGTGCAGAATATTAGAAACAAGCACCGATATGATAATCATACCCGCCCAATCTATATTTTGTTTTATGCCTGCCATATCCAGCACATTGCTCATCAGCACCAGAACCAACCAGAAGAATTTTGGCCTCAGATTTGTACATAGAACGCCCATGACCCTCATTATGATTATTTGAAACACCTCTATCCACCCAACCATGGCCGCCAGCTGCCAACCATAATGCTATCCCAATATTCAGGTCCTGGAAAATAAAGAATGAAACTTACAGCTCTATGGATCTACAACTTATGCAATATAGTAACAACATCAAAAGTCCATCCTTGAGTTTGAGGTGCATTTTAGTAGCACTAGATGTCTGATTTTTTTTTTTTTGGTGATGGGTTAATGCCTGAAATTTTCTGTAAGTCATTTATGCATCTGTCAGAATACACAAGGAGTTTAAGCATATTCTTCAATACACAAGAACTGTAAATTGAAAAAAAAAAAGAAATAAATAAATAAAGTACTTTTTTTTTTCAAAATGAAGGAAGAAATAATAACAACTGTAAGCCATATAATTAACGCTTAAAAGTTAGCTACGTTTCCAAGAAAAATAAAGTAGTTGACCATGTATGTCTTTGCAGGATTTATGAGTGACATGACATGCAAGGTTTCTGAGGTCAAATCTGACAAATCAGCATCAATTTCCACAAGGTTCCACCTGCAAATACAAAAATGGGAGTTCAAGGAACTTGGATGAGCAATATTTTTTTCTTTTTGATCAGTTAACAGGATAAAATGCATTCATTGATAATGAAAACAAACAAAGGTAGTGCAAGGATCAATGGAGGGAAAAAATTAAGAAAGAGGGCAAGAAATATAGAAAAGACCAGAAAAGCAACCTCAGAAGACAAGGTAAGAATCAAATTGGAAGCCCAGGAACATAAAAGATATAATCCCTAACCAGGATACAAAATATTTTTTAATGATGCAGGACAATAATCAAACTTTAACATAAAAAAAGCAGAGATATCAAGTTTTAACAGATGACTATTTCCCAATGTCCTATATTCAAAACAAGTGTTTTAGAAACTACCATGGAGATGCACCTGGAATATGAGCCAGACTGAAACCATTCAGTTCAACCAGCAAGGCAGACAGCATGTGCACAAACAGAAATCACACATTATCTTCTCATTCAATCAAATGTTGTACTTCACCCCCCCCCCCCCAACATGAAATCTAACAGAATTTCACTGGATACCATCATGAATGGCAAATAGAAATGGTGCTGCCGGCCACAAGCATGCTAGATGGCCATAGCATAGTAAATATCGAAATGTCAATTGAATTCATAACAAACCTTCTTTGTACCCACATACCCCCATTTTCCCAATGGGTGAAATGAAAATATCCTGGAATAAAAAAGATTCCAAGTATCTGTTGATATTTAAAATAATTAATCTATTAACAAAATTTTCAATTTACTATGTACAAATATTCCAATTTTCTGTGAAATACAGGGTAAGTTTCACTAGTTTTGTAAAAACCATTGGAGACAATTCTGAGGCATAGAAAATGTTCCAACCACATTTTTGCATAAAATTAAGAAAAAGGCATTTGGATTTCTAGAATCTAGAATTTTGGAGCATCTGCTTGAATTCAGTTTTCAAAATATGAAGTTCTTTTTAAAAAATTCATTTGAACAATTAATTTAAGAACAATCAAGTCATTATAATAATTATAGAATAATATTAACCATAATAATAATAATAATAATAATAATTAATATGACCTCAAAAGTTAATGTAGAGATTTTCTAATGAACCTCAAACTGAAGGAGTTCGGATATAAGAATCATATTTGGCTTTTACGAATGCTCACTTTGCATGATAATAATTATATGTTCTTTTTGGTCCTATTTAAAATATTTAATCTTTCTCTTTGTAATATACAGTGAGCTATTTTCTTTTCTTTTTTCAGGTTTTGAGTGTGTAATAATACATATTTTAACATTTCCTGAAGTTTTATAAATAAAATCCATATTCTTGTTAATATTTCTAATGTTTTTTCAATTTCCTCAAATTTTGAGATATTTGAGCAAATTTTATGAAATTTCCCCATTTGCACATGGCAAATGCCTAACAAAATCTTGTTTGATCCATGAATAAGAGAAGCTGTAAGTCTTCAGTCTTCTACCCAATTTTTAAAACCTTAACTAGCAGCCACATCAGGTTTAGTTCCTGGTCAATACAAGTTTATAGGTCCAAGAATTTAGAGAACAAAGCATTTCAGAGAGAGAGAGAGAGAGAACACTTCAATATTTCTTTAGTATCATTAAATAATGTATACATTGAACTGATCAAGTTGGATAGAAAGAAACTCGGATATCCACATGCATTCAGAAATATCAGTTAGTTGGACATTAATCAAAAGGCCATTACCCAATGTGGTCCCAGCTATCTGGGGTCTTGGGAGGAGTGCACTGGATATGGTCCTGATATTTTGCTTTTTCTTATCTTTTTCTTTCTCTTTCATTCTTTCCTTTTTTTAACATAAGGTGGCCACTCTCATACTCAAACTTGTGTTCTCACGCTTAAGTCTTGACGGCCCAAGATTTTACCATTACACCAAGTAATGGCCCCTTAGTTGGACATTAATCTCCAGAACAATAATTGATTACCCAGTTGCTACATTTTAAAATACTTAGAGAATAAAATAATGGCATAGTAGCAAAATATAACAGAAGTACCTTCTTGAAGGTGCAATTCTTTGTAGTTCCTTTACCCCTGCCCTTGCAGAGATTCTATCTGGAGCAGACTCCCCATCAAAGCTTACATTAAGCAGATCAATCTCATCTGACAACAAAGATTCAAATCCATCAATTTCAGTAGAAAAATATAAATGAATAAAAAATTAATGTAATTACTAGGGAGCCTTCTTTAATCTATACATGAAAGAGATCATCCATGAACAATCCTTGTCTAGAATAAAGTCAATTATCATAGACATCAATTCATTTCACACAGAACATTATTCTACTTGGTCGAATGAAGTTGAAGGGAAGTACCTGCAAATTCTAGAGGACAAAAAATGTTCATGGGAGGCAGCCAAAAAGAATCTATTTAGATACCAACTAATAAACATGACAGCTTACTTTTAGTATGGTATAATATTAAAGTAATTCTCCACAAAAAATGGTGATATAGACTTCCAACGTTAACAACTAGCGCCCAAAAATAAAATAAACTCTTGAAATATAAAGCCAGAAGCATCAGATTATACTAAAGAGAACAATGGTAGGAACTGTCACTTGAAAAAACCTAGGCTCTGGAAGAGGAATGACAGCTTTTCTGGAACTGCATACCATCAAACTATGTGTTTCACCAATAATAAGGCACATAGCCAAAACAAATTCGATTGTCAAGCTTGAAGACAAAGTCAAAGGAAATCAGATAGTATGCATTCTAGAAGGATTTAAAGGTCAAACCTATGAAGTAAATTGAACTTACAAGTGCGATCCAGACATTCATCCAAAAGTGCTGCCAGTATCATAGAATCCAATCCACCAGAAAAAAGAACTGCCACTGGAACAAATTTCTCTGGTCTAACCTCATTGGCAGTTGTCTGCAAATCCGTATTCATGAAATTTAGTCAATATGAAATTATCAGTACTAGTATCTAAAGGGAATATCTTGTTCAGATGGATTAAGATATCTATATATCCTCTAGAAGACAGTCTAGTTAGAAGATATTCAAGGGGAGTGGGGTTGCATCGGGGAACATCCCTCCTGGAGCAGTCTATTGCTTTTTGCTTCAGTTTTGATGCACCATTTCTGCCTTGTCTTCTATTTTGAGAGGCTCTTGGGTGTGGTTTCTCCATTATTGGTAAACTGGATGATACTCCCCCCTCCCAAAAATAAAATAAAATAAAATAAAGAAAACTCACAAACACACTCAAAAATGAAAAAGGATATTCACATCAACAGAGCATTCCCCACCCGTGAACAGAAAATTAGAGAAACTAATTCAACTAAACATTACTAGAAATATGCAGATTTTATTTAGACCTGAAACATTCTTTCCAGAGTGATGCGCCGTTTAACAGATTCTTTCAAAGCAAGAAGCACCCTCTGTGCTGGTAATGAATCAGAGCATTGATTGACCCCTGCATTAACCAAAAAATCCGGTCAAGGTCCTTTCTTTTTCTCTTTTGCAACATCATCATAATCTAAGATTAGACAGCAATTCACCTTTGTAACTCAAACAGGAATCTGAAAGGATGGTATTATTCACTGGAACAGTTGGAATATCTGTTTTTACATGCTTTACATCATGATCAAAACTCAACTTAGAAGGCATCCCATCAACATAATTTGAATGCATTGCATGCTGATCCCCTACAACAGGAAGATGGGGGAAATTCAAATGTTCAGATTTTGGTTCCACAAAAGTTCTCTCCCATTCAATCAGTTCCTTCAGTTCAGGATTACTCCATTCATGTTTTCTAACTTCACCAACTAGACAATCATTGGCTTTTGAAGCATCCAGACATATACTGTATATCCCACATGGAAGCTCTTCCCAGAAACTGAGGTCACTCATATTGCCTTCAAGCTCTAAATCTGGGCGCATCATTACAATAAAGAATTAGCATCATATAAGCCTCCAGAAAATCCTCTTAGGCTATCACCAAATGAAGAAAAAACTACATTAGCAGCTCCTGCATGTAAACAAATATTCAATCTGTCAAGAAAAGGAAGCCACTGGTGCCTTTGGTTCATGTTCTTGAAGGGAGGAGCATCTTCTAGGGTGAAAAGAAAAGTACAGGAATCTACTTATTCATTGATCCCATGTTGGTTTCATATAGCTAATTGGGTTGGTATGCTGGAACCCCACAACCATATTTTTGCAGTAAAGGATGTCAACCAATTCAGTTACAACTTACAAGCTCAAATTCAACTTTCTTTGGTACTGCTAAATGGACAAGGGAGCAATGAAAAAATTGTTTCAGGCATGGGAATTATTGAAAAGCTAAAATCAAGAACAAAATATTGAAACCTGATGTAATTTGTATTATATGCCGCAGAGGGGCATTCTTGTCCTTTTCCTTTTATTCTATTTTGTTTAGTTGCCCTACTATTTAATATAATAGAACTGGCGCAGCCAGCTAAGATTTTTTTTTTTTTATCAATAACACTTTCATTAAATCATCAATAGAAGATTTACAAGAGGAAGACAAACACACTTATCTTTCAAGAGCAACAGAGGACCTCAAGAAAAGGAAAAAGAAAAGGAAAAAACACTAAAGTTACAGCTTAGCCCAAAACAGTGAATCCCTTTCTGCCCCTTGTTTAGTTAAACCATCAGCTAGGGAATTAGTCGATCTTTTAACCCAACATATCTTAACCTCCACCTCCCACACCAGCCACTTAAATTTCCTCCTCTCATTGTTGTACTTCCATAAGCCATTGTTATCTTTATTCAGCCACCCTATCACCACCTCTGAATCCCTTTCAATTATGAGTTTCCTGATGTTCAACTCCTTAGCTTTCTAGACTCCTTCCATAACTGCAAAGATCTCAGCTCTAAGGGAGTCACCCACTCCAATTGGGCTTGAGAACATGGCAGAAATGACCCCATTCTCATCCCGAAAAACACCCCCAATCCCCGATTGTCCCGGATTTCCCCTACTACACCCATCAAAGTTTAATTTCAAGAATCCAACAGGTGGAGGGGTCCAAGACACTCTCACATCCTTCGTCTCTTCTTCTTCTTCTCCTTCTTCATCTTCTTTCTCTTGTTCTCCTAGTTGAAAACATGGTATCAGAGCGGAAGATGCTCTCTAAATCCATTCTCTGGTCGTAGCACATCTGAGAACATTTCGGCCCAGCCCTGAGAAGGAACAGTACCAGGAACAAACTCGTCTCAGCCCTGAGAACACTTCGGCCCCTCTTCTCTCAGAACTCGCCTGAAATCTAAAAGAAGGCAATTCCAGAAATCTGTGGATGGTTGATTGAAGTTTCTTCTAGAGGTCGGTGGCTTTCTTTTCTTTCCTTTTATTACTTCTGGGTTGCAATCTTCAAAAAGGTTGCTCGTACTGAACAAGGGCAAGAATATTTTTCTTTGTAGTCTCGGTTCTTGGCAGTAAGTCCAAGGACAGGCTAAGTTCTGCATTGACCGAATGGTGTAAGGGGTGTTTGACCCTTCTCTGTGGATCTGTAAATCCGAAACTGTAAGGTTTGAAACCTTGTAGGTCATGAGTGACCTGGTTAAATTGACAGGGTACTGTAGTAGCTTCCATTGATGCTTTTTTATGTGGCTTGTATTGCCTGGAAGAGGTCTGAATGTTTGACAGACCTTTACACTGGTGTGTATTAGCTTTTTGTGGTTGACTGGTACAGCAGTTGTTAACCTTGGAGACCTATTTGCTCTGTCAAAGTGTATTTCTACATAAGCTGAAATTGGGTTCTGACTGTTAATCACTAAGAGTGAGGGCTGTGAATTTCTCTTTGTGGGTGTGTATTGACTGAAATCATGAATTCTGAAGATTCTACAACTTCGGGAAGCACCATGAATCAAGGTGGAATGAGTAGTGGTCATGACTCCATGAATTTCCCAATGACTATTACCCCATTGGATGGTAGGAATTACCTGGCATGGTCTAAGGAGATGCGGCTGTATATCACAGCCAGGGAGAAGGCAGGATATATTAATAGGAAAATAAAAGAACCTAGGGCTGGTACTGCCAAATACGATAAGTGGGACCAAGAAAATTGCATTATATATGTCCTGGCTTTTGACATCCATGTTACCATCCGTCAAACAGAATTTTATGTGGACCGAGACAGCAAAAGAAATATGGGATCAAGCGCAAGCAACTTATTCAGAGCAGAGGCATTATGCTAGAATTTACCAGGTACAAGTAGAATCTTCAACATGTAAGCAGGGAGAAAGGAACTTATCGACCTATTACTCTGCTCTCACTTCAGTTTGGAAAGAGCTAGACTATTATCAAAACATTGATTGGGAAAGTGAAAAGGATGCTAAAGCATACAAAAAAGTTAGTATCACAACGAAGGGTGTTCGCTTTCCTTCTGGGTTTGAATCCAGTGTATGAACCTATTCCTGTTTAGATTTTGGGCAGCAAGGACCTTCCGTCTATTCAAGAGGTTTATGCACTTGTTCAGTCTAAAGAGAGTAGGAAATCTACCATGAACCCTCTTGAGGAGGAGACTATTGCTCTTGCTGTAAGGGGTAACACTGGGGCACCAAGAAGAGGGGAAAATCAGAAAAAGACAGATGATAAAGACAAACTATGGTGTACTCATTGTCAAAAATCTAGGCACACCCGTGAAACCTGTTGGGAATTGAATGGGAAGCCAAAATGGGCACAGGAATTGGGTAAGAAATCAGCACAAGAACCAAGCAAGAAGCCATACTAGAAGAAGTTTACTTCAGCAAACCTTGCATCTCATGAACATCAGAGTACTTCTCAGAGTTGTCCCCCTTGTTCTGACCCAAAGGAAGATATTATCAATTCCTTCCGTGACCACTTAGAGCAATATGGTAGGGGTTAGAGCAATATTTACTTTACCTTTTCCAAAAAAAAAATGGTAGGGCTCTCCGCAATGCTGATTCTGGACCCACACCTACTTCTTTTGCCTCCTCATCAAGTAATTCTCTGCCTCAGCTTTCCATGTGTCTACTGATAACCTGAAATCCCCATGGATTATTGATTCCGGTGCATCCAACCACATGACTGGTAAGTCAACCTTATTTCAAACATATTCTCTTTTCTCTGGTAGAGATAAAGTGAGGTTAGCAGATGGATCCTTCTCCTCCATTGCTGGTCAAGGATCTATATCTTTGCCTCTTGGCCTCCCCTTATCTAATGCCCTACATGTTCCAAAGTTACCTATTAACTTGTTATCCATCAGTAGTATTACTCATGCTTTGAATTGCTCAGTAACCTTTCTTCCACACTCTTGTGTTTTTTAGGATTTGGCTACCGGGAGGATGATTGGTAGAGGGAACATGGTGGATGGTCTCTACGTGCTGGAGAACAAAGTTGGTCTTATAGCTTCAGAGTCTGAGTCCGTTGAGTAAGAGTCAGATTGTTCCGTGGCACCACCGTTTGGGCCATGTGTCTTTTGAGTCGTTGAAATTTTTGTTTCCAGATTTGTTTAAGTCTGTGTCTGTTAGTGATTTTCAGTGTTAAGTGTGTTAAGTGTATCAACTGAGTAAACATTGTAGAACCTCATTCCCTTTACGTAATAAAAGATTAGAATTCCCTTTTCACATTGTGTATTCAGATGTGTGGGGACAAGTTAATATCCCAACTGAGAATGGTTACAAGTATTTTATTTTCCTTATTGATGACTTCTCTCGTTACACTTGGGTTTATCCTATGCATTCACAGAGTAAGTACCTAAAATTGTAAAAGACTTTCAGCGTATGGTTTACACCCAATTTCAATCCGAGATTCAAATATCTCAATCAGATAATGCTAAGGAATACTTCCATGGAGACATCACAGAGTTCTTTGCATCCTGCGGCTCTCAACACAGGAGCTCATGTGCCAGAACCCCACAACAAAATGGGGTCGCAGAGAGAAAAAATCGACATCTCCTTGAAGTTGCTCGAGGATTAATGTTACAAATGAATGTTCCCAAAAGATTTTGGGTGGATGTTGTCCTGACTGCTGCTTATGTCATCAATAGAACACCATCTCGAGTATTGGAATATGGGTCCCCTCATCAACTCCTCTTCCCTAAAGCTCCTTTGTTTCCTATCCCTATGCGGGTCTTTGGATGTAAATGTTTTGTTCATGATCTCTCTCCTACTCGTGGTAAGCTTGATCCCAAAGCTATTGTGTGTATTTTTCTTGGCTATCCCCTTGCTCAGAAAGGCTATCGTTGCTTTGACCCTGTGTCGAAAAAATACTTTGTTTCTATGGATGTCTCTTTCTTTGAAGATGTCCCCTATTTTCCCATTTCTCCTCAGGGGGGAGAGTGAAGTTGAGGAGAAACAGAGTCAAACTCAAGTTTTGTTGCCTTCTATTCCCGATCCTCCTCCATTTCGTGTCTTCCGGAGATTGTGCTACAAAAATCAAGGCCAACGGAGTTCAATTGCCACAGAGCCACCGGAAACTATGCCACCAATGCCATCAGAATCTTAGGGGCTGGATCCTTCACCTCACCCAGGTATTATTGTTCCAGTTGATATTCCTGAACCTATTGATATTGACACTTCAGGTTGTGATTTGAACCTTCCTATTGCAAAAAGGAAGGGTGTCAGATCATGCACCACACACCACCCCATATCTCACTTCTTGTCCTATGAGAATGTCTCATCTTCTTTTCGTGTTTTTCTATCTGCCATTGATAGCGTTCCCCTTCCCAAGAGTGTTGCGGAGGCCTTACTTGTTCCTGAGTGGACAAATGCAATGATAGAAGAGATCAATGCTCTTCACAAGAATGGCACATGGGAGCTGGTAGATCTTCCTAAGGGAAAGGAGCCTGTAGGGTGCAAATGGGTGTTCTCTATAAAACATAAGGTAGATGGGTCTGTGGAAAGGTATAAGGCTCGACTAGTTGCAAAAGGCTTCACATAGGTGCATGGAGTTGATTATGCCGAAACTTTTGCTCCGGTTGCAAAAATGAACTCTATTCGGGTTCTCCTGTCTTTAGCTGCAAATCTTGATTGGGAGCTTCATTGACTTGACATAAAGAATGCCTTCCTGAATGGTGATTTGGAAGAGGAAGTGTATATGACTCAATCCCCTGGTTTCTGTGCTAAGGAAAGTGAACAAAAAGTTTGCAAATTGAAGAAATCTTTGTATGGTCTAAAGCAATCTCTGAGGGCTTGGTTTAGCAAGTTTCACCAGGCAGTTCAACAGATGGGCTTTAGGCAGTGCCAGTCTGATCACACACTTTTTGTGAAGAGGGAACAAGAGAAAACAACAACCTTGATTGTCTACGTAGATGATATTGTCATTATTGGAGACTGAGTCTCAGAGATTAAAAAAATTCCTTGCTACACAGTTTGAAGTAAAGGATCTAAGGTACTTGCACTACTTCCTTGGTATTGAAGTTGCTCGCTCTCAACAAGGTAGCTTCATTTCCCAAAGGAAGTACACCTTAGATCTCCTAAAGGATACAAGGAAGCTAGGAGCTAAACCTGCTAACACACCTATAGATGTGAATCATAAGCTTGGGGACTGCAGTGGTGAGCCCTTGAAAGATCCAAGGCAGTACCAAAGACTTGTGGGCAAGCTTCTTTACCTATCCATGACCAGGCCTAACATTGCATATGTTGTGGGTGTCCACAGTCAATTCATGCATGCACCCAAGGAGGCACACCTAGAGGCAGCAGATAGAGTTCTTAGGTACTTGAAGAAGTTCCCAGGAACATGTTTACTCTTTAAGAAGCATGGGCACATAAGAGTAGAGGTGTACACAGATGCAGATTGGGCCAACTCAGTGGGATGACAGAAGATCCACCAATGGATATTGTGCCTTTGTTGGTGGAAACCTTGTGACTTGGAGAAGCGAAAAACAGAGTGTGGTGGCCAGGTTAAGTGTAGAGGCAGAATACAGGGCTATGTCTCATGGAATTGCAGAATTACTGTGGATCAAGAACCTATTGAGTGAATTAGGATTTCCTTTTGATGATCCTATGTCACTTTACTGTGACAACAAAGCTGCCATCAACATTGCAGCCTACCCAGTTCTCCATGATAGAACCAAGCACATTGAGGTTGACAAGCATTTCATCAGAGAGAAAATTGAGAAGGGGCAAGTGTGCACCCCCTACATTAGTTCTGATGAACAACTTGCAGATGTTCTTACTAAAGGATTATGCTCACTACGGCATTATGATCTTTGTGACAAGTTGGGGATGATTGACATCTACGCCCCAACTTGAGGGGGAGTGGTGTAATTTGTATTATATGCCGCAGAGGGGCATTCTTGTCCTTTTCCTTTTATTTTATTTTGTTTAGTCGCCCTACTATTTAATATAATAGAACTAGCGCAACCAGCTAAGATTTCTTCAACTCTCACATCCTTCTTCTCTTCTTCTCCTAGCCGAAAACAAAACCAATAGGAATAAAAAATTTTATCCATATCAAACAAGCAAAAACAACCAAATTCTCGCCAACAAATCATTTATACATTAACTATAAAGCAAGTCGGTCTACTTCCTTGCTCACTTGTAAGTAGTTAGTGTCAGGCTCACAAAATAAATTTTAAATAGAAGAAATAGGTAACCATCCACTAAGTTATATACCAAGATTTTTCTTGTAAGATAAAGGCGGTGATACAGAAGATAGCAGAAAGCGAGAATCATCCGCAGTTGGCCAATGAACAAGGAGGCTCCGCCTTCCAAATGCATCACGACCAAACCACATGGTTTTGGAACTATCCTATGCATGGTAAAACAGGAAAGATAAGAGAAACACGATTACATAAAAGATACAAGCATTGCACTATTTAGAAAATTAATAAGAAACTTACCCAATCAAAAAAGAGGTACCTGCCAATAAATTAATGCCCATGGCCCTTTGATTTTAGAAAGAAGCTCTGGCACAGAATTTTGCCCTCCTTTAGTGCAATAGCATGCTTTTTTGTCTCCTTGGCAGTTGCAAGAGAAGCATCTTCCAAGAGCATCCATAAGAATTGCAGTATCATTGTTATTACTACCAACATGAATTCCACCAAATATTTCACCTTTGAGAAACAATTTTGAATGAGATTTTCTATTGGAAATGGCGACCTTCAAGGAATAGACATTTTATAAATAGAAAAAATATATAAAATGAATGAGATTATTATTATTATGATGATCATCATCATCATCATCATTATTATTACTATTTTATCCTCATCATTATAATTATATTAAAGCAGAAAAAGAAGCCTTGCTGATGATAAGGGTGTTCAGTAAAATTGAGTGTCCAATCAACAGAAACATGAAAGCAGAGAGCAAATTTCACAAGATTGTGTACTGACATATTAATGGTTTGTAGGCACTAGGCAGTAACAAACTCAATCACCTCAAAAGTTATTGCAGCCATTTCCTGTGTCCCCAATAACACAGGTGTATTCAAATGCTGGTGTATTTTCCTTTAACTACGCACGAACCTGATGATGTTGACTGGCATTACCTTAACTATAACTCTCTTTAGTCGCTCTTTATTTTGAATGCCAGTGGCATGGCTTCCCACGCTCCATAGGCCACTACAGCTTAAGCTGATGTCTAGTCAGAAGAGGGGTTGCAGTAACTACTACATGACAAACTTTTACCATATAGAAAATTATAGTAAAATATTAATAAAAAAATACTAGTGAAATTAAATGTTATAACATTTCTTTGATTGATAAGAGAATCTTTATTAAAATTAAGGATTATAATAATTATACTACTGCTGTCTTCTTCTTGGCTTTTTTTTTTATTTTTTTAAACCCAAACATGAAAAATCGAAATATCTCAGCAAATGCAGACTTCATGTCATTTCATCAAGCTTCTAACTAAGAAGATGTATACATGATAATATAACATCAACAAAAAAATCAAAATAAGCCACCCAACTTTGACATGATAAGATGCCAGCCATTCCAAGTTCAATCTAACCTTCAAATTATATAATATCAATCAAAACATTATTGACCAACTTTGACATATTTCCAAAATGTTGGCCAACATCTAGTCATCTACAAAAACATTTAAGAAATTTATGCATTGAGGTGACAGATGTTGCATTTGTCATTTTTTTGATAAATGAGTAAACATTTTAATAATCTAGTAAATAAGAGTTACAGGCAACCCAAGGATAGGCACAAGATGTGACCTTTCCTTTAAAATTGATCACAGCATTACAAAATCAGATGAACATATTTATAAGATAGCCCAAAATAAAGAATCCCGAGAGACCCCCTGTTTAGCAAGTGAGTCAGCCATTGAGTTTGCTGATCTGCCTACCCACTGGACTCTATCATATTTCTTGTTAGCCATTTGACTTTTTTAAGGAGATCTCTATAGCCCCAAATCAGAGTTCGGATTCAACAACCATCCCACCACCACCTGAGAGTCCCCTTCAATAAGAAAATGCTTTATCCATAACTGGTTTGTGAGCTGGATTCCTTGTACAGCATAAAGAAATTCAGCCCTTACAGAGTCACATTTGTCATTCTTATATGAAGCATTTACACAAGCTTTTACCTTTTTTTTATCAATAACAGAAACCCATATATTAAGAAAAGAAAGGATTACATACAGCACTCTGGGAAGAGGTAAAATGACTTAACTCTCCCCAAGAGAACAAGAAAGAAATTACAAAATAGCCCAAAACATTTGCTCCCTTCCCACCCTTTGCTTTGCCAATGTATCTTCAAATGCATTTGCAGTTCCCTTCACCCAATGATACTGAACTTCCAGCCCACTGGATAACCACTTAACCTCCCTCCTTTCATTTGCAAATTTCCATAAACCACTATTTTTCCCTAACCAGAACTTTAAGTCTCCTTCAACCACTAACTTCTGAACGTTCAGCTCCTTTGCCTTTCTAAACCCTTCCAAAACAGCGAACATCTCAGCTCTAAGGGAGTCACCAACCCCAATGGGAACTGAGTACATAGCAACCACCTTCCCATTTTCATCTCTGAATACACAAGCTTGAACCATTCCAAGTTCAATCTAAACTTCATAGATTCTGAAGTAGTGCAATCACATCATATTCATGGATCTATGGAACATATACACAAGGTTCAAGCCTGGATCTCATTCTTATATCTTTAGGATGAAAGAAAATCTAGCTGTAATGTTTTGCATTACTTCTAAAATCTTGTCATTTAGACCCTAATAATTAGTAAATACAATTTCTAATTTTGACCTAAATCCATGTGACAGATTGAAAGCCATTATTGGTGTCTATTCAAATTAGTGGCAGTATATGGTGATAAAGTGGCTTAAAAGTGTGTTGATGATTCTTTTACCGTCTTCTGAAAATCAGTGGAGACTCTAAACATCTTTGAAGTGCTTCCCATTCTGTAATGGTGTATGGAGACAATATTTGTGAAAGTTTTGCTGTTTCCCAGGCAACTGAGATTGGCACCTAATCAAGCCTTTAGCATCTTGACCTTATTACTTGCATGGACCTATTTTGTATTTTGTGTGCACTATAATGACCAAGTTACAAATATATTAAGACAAACATTGTATAGTATATGCAGAATATTTTGCGTGGGGAGGATAAGAAGCTAGCTTTGTTCATAATTCAGAGAGGAACAAAAAACAACATTGTACCCTAATACAATGTCAAATACAGGCACAAAGGGTCTAAATCTGCAATAAGGTGTCACAATCAAGTGAGTTCCCTGCGAAATGATAGAAGAAGCACGTGTATCAACTAGCATATGTAGACTTGAAAGTGAATCCAATAATCCAAGGATAAATAAACACACCATTATAAACAAGAAGATTTCCATAACCATCCACCAGTGGCTGATAGACTTGATTGGTTCCCCGAAGTTGCAATGTGGCACCAAAGAAGAGCAATTCTGCAACAGATTTCCCCAGAATGCAATCATTGCTTTGTACAGAAGTAACTCCACTGGTAGAAGGAATGCAATCATTTTTAATTCTGGAGGAATGCAAACAGGAGTTCTCTCTATTGGTTGTGCCATCTGCATTGAAGAGAGATATAATTTCTTCTTTCTTAGAAGAGTCTGAACTCTTTAACAGAAGTAATACCTTCTTGCTTCCAAAGTTGTCAGGACCCCTTCTTAGCAGAGCTGCTTTAATATCATCGAATGAAAAAACGGGCTGGTCCACCTGCAGACAGCAAATGCTAGTCACTTTATATGTTATGCTACCCATATATGCTAAGGACGAGGCTGATCAAGTTGTCAGATATGGACTGTACACTAAAATTGAAGTAGCCAATGTGATACGGTACCTTTGTACAGGTATTTGGGTATCACTGTTTATAAGTGCATGCATGTTTTGTTTATGCAAATAAACAGAACTTCTCGACCCTGTTCAATTCTCCATCTTTCATGGAAAAATAGATGGAAAATTTGACGACAAAGTTTCACGTTAAGTGACAGCACTGGAAGCCTTTGTTTGTAGTTGAGGACTGACAAGCCACCCTATTTTTATTTCTGGGTTTCAACTGTATAAAGGAAACTAATCCCACTTCTACATCTCTTCCATTGTGATTATTACATTTCTCCCTTTCAAATTGCTCATAAACATAGCCCCATTCTGTTTAAATCCCAAAAGACATCCTAGTTTTTCCATGAATTGACGTCCTAAACTGAATAACACAAGTTTGCTTGACTGATCTCCATTGACCAGAAGAGTCGCAATTTCAAGGATGCTGACCTCTACAACCGTGTGACACTCAGAAGTGGAAGCTGATGTGGAACAAGTGATCAATGCTATTACCAATAGTAGTAGTAATATTCTAGAGTGGAACATTGGCTCGGTTTTGGACAATATCAGATTTCTAAATACTTAGTTTGTATATATTTTCTTTAAGTTGGCTTGCTAATAGGATTGCTCATGAGAGGGCCCGTTGAGCTTTTTCCAGTAGCGACATCTTACTCTTTTCTGGATGCCCACCAGAATGGCTTAGACTTAGAAGGTGTACAGCGAGAGATACATAGTTTCTCTAGTTCGTTTTGTTATTCGCTTTTGGTGATCTTTTGCCTAAGAAAGAGTCAAATTTCATATGAACCAGCTACAGATATGACCAAAAAACACCTCATTTCTGAACAAACTGAACAAGATAAACCTGCAGCATCATAAAATATCAAACTCCCAACTCTCATCCATATACTTTTCAAGTCCCAAACACTAAAATTTAAGCCAGACAAAAAAACAAATACTTGGGATGCATAACGAGAAGCAAAGAAGCAGCTTGCATTCGCAGATAGTTTGCGTCTAACAGAACAAATACTGGCTATGAACATATTTCTTCCTTGGAAGATAACTTTTATTCAATGTAAGAAATTTAATCAAAAGTTGCAGTTCAGAAATGGTAACTAGCTATGTTTGGACTTCAAAACAAATCCATTTATCATTTATTTACATCGCACGAGACAGCTGAAGTCTTACTTGTTCAACTTCGGGAAGTGAAGATTTAAAATCGGGAAGTAAATGTAATAAATCGATGCGAACACCGGAGACGATCAAAGCGATTCCGCACATATCTCTCTTTTGTTTTCTCTAGTCAGAGAGAAAACATCGTTCAGCTCAAAACTATTTGTTCCATCGAATTTGAGGTTTATTCTCTGCGAACTGCAAAGCTTGTTTTTCTAGGAAAAGGAAAATCTCCATGTCAACAACTGCTTCCGTAGCATAGTGGTAGTGCGTTCGCTTCGTAAGCGAAAGGTCGCGAGTTCGATCCTCGCCGGGAGCTTTAATGCATTTTGCTCCTTTTTTAATCACACTAGCTGAGCGGTGCCAACTGGGCAACTGGCTCAATTGATAAGTTATTCAGTTCAGTTCAGCACTTCAGCATTTATCAAATGGATTATAATATTTTTATTAATTAAAACTGTGTTCATCCAAATGCTTGTTAGATCAGTTTAACAAGTCTGGGTGATTGCATTATTGCAAAAATAAACTACAGATAAATGACTAAACCTTCATTTTTTTATGTTAATAACAACTTAAAACTTCAATTTTGATAATATAACTTTAATAAAAATGACAGTAAAATAGGAAATTATTCATGTATTAATAATTCAAGTGATTTTAATTAAAAGTATTTTATACTTTATCTATTAAGCTTACCCTTTTAAACATAAAATATAATAAAAATTACAGGAGAACTAGTAAACCTTTTATATAGTATTAACTCAATAATCGGTTTTTGTCTTAATTGATTTAAAACATACAAGAACAAGCACTTACCCAATTATTAATCAAAACAAAATCACAGACCCAAAAATGCAATAATTGATTTGATCGATTTAGTTGGATAGGGTAGAACTGACCCATTGACAGCCCTAAGTCTAGATACGTCCTACTTAAGATTTAAGAGATCGAATATACCAAAAACCAGATAGGTCCTACTTATGGCCTGAATCAGGTCCATAAGATCTCTTCACTTGTAGTTGTTTCTTAATTCAGATTAAAAAGTTAGCTCATATTTTTAAAATAGCAAATTAATTTTAGTTTAGCTTCCTAAGTCAAATAAAAAACCTAACACAAAGGCTGTCAAAAATGTTTTATTGGGTTAGATCCAATTCTTAGATAAAATGGTTTGTTTAATTACAAATCAAACCTAATTTAATCTGCTAAATCATATAAAAATACCCAATATAAATGCATTTCGAGGCATTTTTGGGGGTTTTAAGACAGCTTTGGCCCCCTTCAAGGGCAAGGTGTTATATGCCAGACATACACATAGGTTTTAATATTGTTTCTACCTAAAACGTTTGTATTGCTAAACTCAAAATGTTTGAAATAATTTGTATTGCTAATTTTATCCAATTCTTAGATAAAATGGTTTTAAGACATAAACAATAATTTGTATTGCTAAACTCAAAATGTTTGAAATAGAAACAGCAATGGTACCAAATATACAACCCTATTTAAAGGTTAATGGAGTTAGCGACAGCCAACAGGGCACATGCAATAGTACCAAATTTGTCCTCATGATGGATTATGCTTGATTAATTTTCTTGTTTTGTAAAGTTGTTTTAAGGCTCCGTTTGCTTTTTGGTAAGTTATTTATCAGGGTAAGTGCATTACCCATGTTCTTTTATTTCCCATGTAAATAATCCAATGACCATTTTAGCCATAAAATTTTATTATTAAAATGGGACATTTTTGTCTCATCCAAGTGTTTGCAACTTTCTCTCAAGTGGAAAATTTAGCCCTGTTTGGCATCGTTCCTACCTATTTCTCTTCTTAGAGAAATTCCTGCTCCAAAACAAGAATCATGTTTCTTATTTATTCCTAAAAAATAACTTACTTGTTTGGCAAATTGTTCTTAAAGAACATATTTCCGTTCTATAAAAATAGAAATGGTGTTTAGATAGCCATACTATTTTTCTTATTATTAATTCTTCATATCAATATAGATACAAAAATCATAATAAATAGTTACTAATTTATTAGGCACTTCTCTTTTAAATTCAACAAATTTAAACTAGATGATGCAATTGCTCAATAACATAGAGCTGAAACACTTCTTATAAAAGAGTAACATCCAATGAACAATAGAATGATAAAACTTGGGACTCTTCTTAGGATCTTAATTTCTACAATATAGGAAAACTAAAACATTAAATTCCAAGATTCAATTGTAGAAAACGTGGATATTATCTACCAAATAGGGGAGGGAGAGGATTAATACTAATCCCTATTCCAAAATCATGAATGGAACCAGTATTTCTAGATTACTACTTTAGGGAACAAATTAAAATGAAAAATTTTCTCTTTTGGATCAGGAATGGAAGCGAACTAAAATGAAAAATTACAATATATTCAAGTCATTAGATTTTTTTATTTCAGCAAAACATAGGGTTTATCTTTTGGAAAGGGGATTGGCTAAGAGAGTTGAACTTAAGAAGTTCTACCTTTTTCCAGTGCGTTGGTTGCTATTTTCAGGCTGAACTCTGGTTTAAACTCTTCAAATGGCAACGGTTCATGAAGACAGTGAATCCACAAGCAAAGAAGAAGAAAGTTATGGCCAACTACTCTTTCTTGGTTGATGGACTGTGCGACAGTGGGATGAGGAAGTAAAGAGATAACTGACAATGGCTTGTTGTGCCCAACGTTTCTTTTATTTGAGCAAAATTATATTAACACCCCTCTTTACATGTGAGAAATACCCACATGTGTTAATTTTTTAAGTTGACGTTGTGGGAACAAGCAGTTCTGCAGGACGTGTTGGAGTGATAGTTTTGTTACTAAGGCTCCGCTTGGTTTGTAGTAAGGCTGCAACTTGGGTCGGATTAGTCCGAACCTAACCTGAAATGAGTTGGGTCGGGTTGATGCTCGAGTTAGGGTTAGGGTTGAAATTTATGAACCTGATTTACTTTGGGTTGGGTTAGGGTTACCCTTGGGCAACCCGACCCAACCCAAACCCGACTCTATAGTACATATCATATATAAATATATGTTATATACATGATCATCCATTGATTTTTTTTTAGATGCATGATAGTTGTATAGCCACTACCACATATTATCATTTATTTCATTTAAGATAATCACTTCACTTAATACTAATTGGAAATACTAAAACCTTGATAACATATTTTATGTTTTTTGAATATTTAATTCTTTATTTCTTCTCTGTTGTTTGCTGCCCATAAAAGATCTATTATAAGTCATCATAATAAACTATAGTCATTTCAAACACTTTTTGTCTGAATTTTGTATTTAAAGAACTAATAAAAACATCAACAAACAAATACTAATAAAACATAGGATTAATATATGTAATGAAAGTTGAGTTAAGATCTAAGATTAAGAAGTTCTATAAGATTTTTAGGGATGAGAAGAAGGTAGGGTTGGGCCCAATCCGAAGTTGACTTTGGGTTGGGTTAGGGTTGAAGGAATTTAGTTAGGGTTAATGTTAGGGTTGGGTAGGTCAGGTTGAAGGTCAGGTTGGGTTAGGGTTAGGGTTGGCCTCAACCCGACCTAACCCAGCCCGACTTGCAGCCCTAGTTTGTAAGAAGATTTGGGTGGGATGGGAAAAGATGGGATGGAAAAGTGTAAAAATTTAACTTTTCATTGTTTGGTTTTATATGGGAAAATAGTAGGAAAATTATCATCACAAAACAAAGTTCTACCATGGCAGAAAACCTCCGATCTGTGCTTGCGTTGATCTAGGTTCTACCATGGCGGAAACATCTTCAATGGTGGTGGCAGCAAAAGGTAGAAGGGCAAAGGAGATTACGCAATGGTGGTAGTGGTGATTACCAGCAGTGATGGTTGCGGAAGAAGGTAGAAGGGCAAACCCAACAGCGGTGGTGGCGGTGATTACCAATAGCGGTGGTAACCAGCAGCATGGTGTAGCAGCGATGGTGGTTACCAATAGTAGCGACAGTTACTAGAAGGGAAGGAGAAAGTGAAGGTGGTGGTGGCAGAAGGTAGAAGGGCAAACCCAACAGTAGTGGTGGCGGTGATTACCAGCAGCGATGATGCACCAGCTACAGGGCGGAGGATGAAGATGAAGAAACTTGAGTTTTCTCATGTTTTTCCACCAGGGTCGCACTGTTTTGGTGAGACCCCGATTGCACAATTTTGGGATCTCGCATCCTACTTTTTTCTCATCCCATCCCCCTATTTCCATTGAAACAAATGAGAGAAAAATGAATATTTTTGGAATATTCTCTTTTTCTCATCCCCATCCCACAAACCAAATTGAGCCTAAAAAAACACACTCCTACCAACTTGTTCTTGTTCCAAAACACGATATTTCTTGTGACAAAATGCATCTAAACGTATTTCTGATCCGTGAGAACATTTGGAACATAAGAAACGTTTCCATGGAACAATACCAAACATGGCCTTATTTACCCACCTGAGATATGGGTATCACTTACCCCGGTAAGTGTAAGCCATACAAAGGAAAATAAACTTTCCTTAGTCCCTACATAAATCTGAAAAAAGAATATAGGTTTCTTGGTCAATCCCATTAACCAACTTCCCCCCCTCTCAAAATCCACAAAATGAAAGCCCCCTAAATGTTTTTGCTAGAGCTGGGTTTGTATTTTTGTTGGTTCCTCCCTTTGGGTTGTCTATGCTTCGGATTAGGATAAAATGTAAAAGCCCTCCCCCAAGGTTTCACTTTAATGGAAACCTCCCTTGTAGTTTTGAAAAAAAAAACCTGCAATTACCTCTCTTTCATCATTGTCCCAGGTGAAAAACATTGGCCTAATTCATTAGTTTTTTAAAAATACTCATTTTACTCTTATGTATATCAATCCATATTAGTATTTACTAAAATATCCTAAAAGAACTTTTAACTAAAAAAAGTTCCATAGGTCAAATTGAAAAGAGTAAATTAATTTTACTCTATAAACCCTGTCAACTACAATAAAATTTTAAAGGGCAAATCTAACATTTTGAATTATGTAGAGAGATGCCCTGATTAGTAGTAAGGGCGATTTCATAAGTTCAAGATTTTGTTGTTGAGAGAATGACAGAATTGCGGGTTTTTTCAAAACTATAAGGGAGGTTTTTGTTAAAGTGAAATTTTAGGAAATATTTATAAGAATGTCATAAATTTCAGGGGAGGTTTTTATATTTTACCTTTTTTTAAAACCAATGGAATAAGTCAATAAAAGAATGTCAGCATAAGTTCTGCTAGAATATTGACAACAATGAAGAATCCAAGGTTCAAGATATCACAACATATTTACATGGATTTAGGGGTTGTCTTTATGTTTATACATTGGAAGTCCACCTAACATTCTCATTCTTAACACATCAACCTTAAAAAAAATTAAAAAGATTAAAATATTTCCCTTCAGAAATGCATGCAATGCCAAATTTTCATTTTGTATGTATCGATACTTTATACCAGACATGCATGCACGAATTCACCAATCACCATCTTATGGTTGTTTTTATAGCCTATATATGCTGATGTTAATGTGAACCACCTATAAAGATGAATCTTAGATGGAACTAGAACAAACCAAGGCATCTACATTTTGGGTTTTAGCCGACCTTTATGACCTACAACTTCAACCAACCTATGAATTTTGGAACTTTTGACTTGAAGGTGTCTTTGTTGATCAAAACATATTCTCAAGCCAAAAAAAAAAAAAAAATCTAAACTACGTTCCTTTTAGGGATGCAAACGGATCAGATCGGAGTTGAACTGGGGTATATTTAAATGCAATCCGAATTTATGTCGGGTCCAATTTAATCCAAAAACCAGATTGGATCTTATAGGACTCAATTTGAATTTGAATCCTATCGGTAAGTCAGATCTTCGAATCTGATCCGATTCGATTTGTTTTCTTTAAAAATTAATAAATTGTTAAAATAAAAATAAAATATATATACTAATTTAAATAAAATATAATTATTTTTAATTATTTTCATCATATATATACATATTTTTTTATAAATATATAATATATCGAATCAGATCTTCTCGAATCGGATAAGAAGGGATCCGAATCTGAACCAATCCAAAGATCCAAACATGGATGATCCGAATTCGACCAAATAGGATCGGATCTCGAATCTGACCCATTTGCACCCCTAGTTCTTTTATAGTTTATTCTACGGTTCTACCAAGTGGGAAGGTATGTGCATTGCATGTGATATCAAATGGTGGACGGAAAGGATAATAGCTCTGCTTTATGCAGATATTTTTTTTATGTTGCTCTCATGAAGTGGGGTATCCGCTTCCATACTGCAAAATGTGTAGAGAATGTACCACAAAAAGTACTTTTAATTAACTATATTTTTAAGGAATATATGCAATTTTAAAGTAAAAAACAAAAGCACTTTCTTAAGTAATCGTATGATGTTTATGTGTATGTGTTAATGTGTGTGTGCTAGCTAAGAATTATACAAACTAAGATACAAATATATTCATGGAGAAAAACGTTCAAAATAGCAATACTTTGTACCTTATACTTTTTATTATGTTTTTAGCTTTTTTTTCAAAATTTTAATTTTAGACTTATTTTTATATTGTTTAATCATTGAAAAAAACAATTTCATTAAAACACCGGAAAATCCAAAAATCCAAATTTTTGAACCTTGATGGAAAATTGCTACTTGATTGATAGGTTGTCTATAAAGACTAACTTGTACTGTTGTACAAGGAGTTACAATTCTTGACCCATACCAACCATGTAAGCATTCCATTCATTTAAATTCATTTTATTATCCATCTTTTACCAAAAAAAAAGGAATTATTATTCACCCCAACCCTATCAACACATCTAGTCCAACATATAATTTGGCCCAGATAACAGTAGGGTTTGGCAGCTTCTAACCCTAGTGGCAATAAGCTAGCAGAACATTATTATCTTAATTTCTTTCTGAATGGATGAAAGAATGCATTGCATCAAGCATTTCAATTATTGTGTGTTGTGAGACCAAAATGTGGCAACCCTTTTCTCATTTTTTTAGGGAACACAAATGGAGTCGCTTTGCAATTTTGGGTGAATTTTGATAATTTAAGCTTGCTTCTAGGAAAAACCATCAATTTGCCCTATGGAGTTCTTTTCCAGTTTCAAAGACAATGTAAACAGTTGCAGAAGCCAAGATAAATTACTATTTGCCCTATAGGTTCATTTGTTAATTGAACCAAACTCGAGCCCAATGAAATTCAATTCATGAAACTCGCAAGTTTAATTAAACTTTTATTATATAATATTTTAATTTTTAATTTTTTATAAAGTTTGGATCACTATTGAGCTTGAACCGAGCTGAACTTGAATATACGAGATTCAGAGCCAAGCTAAATTTAAGCTTATATTTATAGCTCGAATTAAGCTTGAACCTTTTTTTTTTTTGTTTTTTTCTTTTGCCAAACTGAATTCAAATAACTAAATAAATAGCTAAATATTTGGTTCAGCTCCACTAAAATCCACCCCTACTGCCGTGCAAAACCCAACTCATACTCAGCCAGTTGACACATCTCTCCATCTCTAGACTCTAAGTCAGATCTTAAAATAAAATGGAATTTGAAGTAAAGTATCTAACAAGGGGGACCAAACGTGAAAGTATGTGGTCCTATTTCTTGAATAGAGAACAGGACCACAACCTCCGAAACCCTAATTTTCTTGGGCCCCACCCCATTTCCTCCTCTCTCAGAGGACAGAGTCCACAGACAACTTTTTGTTTGATACCAGTTTGTCAAGAAAAAGCGTTTAACCCTATATATATACATTCAACTTGCCGTTGCGCCCTTTATTTTTCTTGGATCATGTGAACTGTTCATAGTTCCACGATATCTCTTCTCTGTCTTACTCACACACCAAGCATCTGTCTCCACCCTTTCTTTTTCCATCTCGGAGCTTCGAGAACACTTTCTCTGATTCTTTGTTTATGCCGCGACATTGATACAGATTTCAGAGCAAAAAGAAATTGCGGTCGCCTACTAGACGCTACCTTCCAGGGTTTTGAAGAAGTCGGTCATCATCATCAGCGCTTAGCGAAAACAAAACCTTGGAAATTCTTCCGGCCAAATTACTTTAGTGGATCAACAGGCCTTTTGCGTGCTTGCATCGACGCATGCATGGAGAGAGAGAGAGAGAGAGAGAGAGAGAGAGAGATGGTCAGCTTACCAGCTGACTGCATTTTTGACACAATGATTCAAACCCAACAGAGAACATATATAATGTATTATAGCCACAATGATGTTCAAACTCAAGTCTGCATATTACAACAGATAGATGTCGCCATCTTTATTACTTTTATCCAAATATCATCAAACAATTTATATATGTTGCTTCAATCCTACTGGTACGAGGTATGTGCTAGCTGCACGGTTTATTACTTATCTATTCTGTTCCCAGCTGCAGAATGAAGCAAGCAACCTGGATAAATTTGATGACAGTATATATAGAAGGATAACAATGTAGAAAATACATATCTGACAGTATATATCTTTGCTTCTTCAATCGGCCAGGATTTAAAGAATACTTACACCAATGCAGAGAATATATATATAACCTGAGCAAATACCCTTCCTTGAAAGCATTCTGCATGATCAGTATATATATAAAGCTTGCAGTAGTTATTCTTGGTTTGATACAGGAACTAAACACTTGAGCAGGTAATATTGTTATATATGCTAGCTAGCATTGGATGCTTCAAGGGCCACTGTTGTCCTTATTATTTGGTTGCTGGCTCCCATTATTGTTCTGAGAATGAAGAAACTTAGGGTTTATGCTCAATTGGAAGGGTCTAACGGGTGGACCTGTTGATGAGTAAGCGGATTGTGCAAGAGAATTTGGTAGTTGGTTTTGTGAACTAGGGCTCAACATCTGAAAGTGGTTGACTTGTCTGCTAGGACCGCACTCCATTGAAGCAGTGATTAATGGAGGAAGAAAAGATGGTGTTGATCCAGATGGGCACACCAATAGTTGAGACCCAGTTGGTAGTGACAATGAGGATGATGACAATGATATAAAATTGTAGCTAAGGGGATCTTCTGATGAGTGCCCTTGGCTCCCTATATGAGACAGAGATAAATTTGAAGGCTCCAAATGATAATAGGAATTGCATGGCATTGCATTGTTTAGGAACCCTGGTAAGGAGACATGATTATTATTGACTCTAGGAAAAGAGTTATGAGATGACAATTGTGCACTCTGACCTTCAAGACCTCCTTCTTGATTTTCTTGTCCATTTCTTTTCATCCAGTAGGGTTTCTCAGTGGGTACTGTTTCTCGTGCAACTTCCTTACATTTAGCCCTAGAAGGAGCACTTGGGTTCCAATATGTTGACCTGGGTGACAGCGTTTGATCTTCCCCATCAACATTGTTAGTGATCTTAAACCCTCCCTTAGCAAGCAATAATGAGTGAGCTCCACCATCCTTTAGATACTCCGAGTTTGCATCAACAAGGGAAGCAAGAGAGGATTGAGATGCACTTACTTCATGAGGAACCACCAAAGACTGAGGATATTGACAAAAGTTTGGTGGAATTTGGAGTGGAGGAAGTTCATCAATTTCATCTTTAGCAGCATTAAGCAACCAGTCGACTACCTTGCTGGGTTGATTAAGCCCAAGCCTGTCCTGAAGGTCATACAATTGAATAGCAGTAGGCACTGAAAGCCTAACACGCCTGTCTCTCAATCCTCTTATGGTACACACTTTGCTATGCCTGTCTTTTCCTCCAAAAGAACGCGAGACTCGAACAATCCGTGGATCCTTCAGTGCTGATGACCATGATCTTGAAGAGGATGAGGCCATGGTGACCTTGCCATAGTTGGTGTTGTCTTCCTGCTTTGCTTGAAAATCTTTCTCTCTTGAACTTGTGATCATTTTATTCCTCTCTTCATCATGAGCAACCACAACTGAATCAACAAGAAAATTCTTTAAGGCAATAGGTTAGTCTTCTTTCTTTCCATATTAATTATCATATGGGATTTGTTGCATGAATTTCATGATCCTACTTCTCAACACATGAAGAAAACAAAAACATCACCAAATCTATTCTTCTTGTGTGTTATTTTCCTAATATACAGATTTAAGTAACAATAGGACAATTTCCCTTTCAACAATTGAACTATATGTTGTATGTAGTGTCTTGGAAAAAAGAATTAATCCCAAAAAATAAACATTACTTTGCAATGCTTTCTTTATATAACTCATTATATAGCTTTACAAGCACTACACAGAAAGGGGTGAAGAGAAGAATAAATAAGCATGGGTAGTTCTAATTATTATTTTGAAATTTATGCTAACTACCATGTGATAGGAGTTGGACAATTCAGCAATAGTGACTAAAGATTGCAGGAACACTTAAGTTAGGATCTGTAATCATAGAAGGAAAAACTGAAAAACTATAATCTTGGATACCAAGTAGAGAAATGAGATATTCAGTAGAAGATGTAAAACTTGTTAACAAGATGTACATGCCTTCATTGTAAACAACAAAATCATACTCATGGCAGTGAATAGTCTGGTCTATTCTCTACTCATACGAAGAGCTAGGGTTATCAAAGGAACTTACAAGTGGAAGAAAGTTTGATGGCCTGCAGCAAATCGAGGTCTGATTCTCTAGGGTTTATACAAGAGAAGGATGATAATACCACAGCACTGTTGAATCTAGCTCCTCTGAATTTGCAACTGAATTGAAACAAATTTGTGCAGTGATTTCAAGCTAGAAACATTTTTTTCCCTAGAGAATACACTTGCTGCAGAAGTCAGCAAATTTAAGAAAGAGATGGACGAATTCCATGAAGCATGTTCCAAGATAAAGAAAAGGAAAAAGAAAAAGATATGGTGTATTTGCAACCATGTCGCATAAATTGACACCTGTCAAATAAATGGGCCAATTGTCCTTTATCTCCATTTCCTTTCTGTCAGTTTTATTAATTACTGAGATTCCATTGCCTTAATAAATAAGTTGAGCTTACCTTCCTTTCACCCACCTAATCTCTTTCCTGTATTTTGTATTTTATTTTTGCAAGGATTATATTACCATGTTAATACAAGAGTGTAATTGCTTGGGTAAACATCTCAAGAGTAGTACAAAGGCACTATAGATGGTAACTTCAACTTGGGACCATTTTACATATGATAAAAGTGATGCCTGTAGCCTTCTAGACAAGTACCAAAAGCATTTTAAATTAACTCTAGCAAGCATGGATTGAAGAAGTGATGGACGATTCCCATCCCATTAAACCCTAATATGGCATTCTCAACAGAAAATTTTTGCATTATATTGTCAAGAACTCTTAAATGATTTTAATTAGGGAAAATCTATGATATCGGAAAGACGTGGTACTGGGAGCGCTTTGACCAATCAAAGCACCTCGTGAATTTTGATGAATAGCACTTGATTGGTAACCTCTTTTGTGATAGTGGTTGATTGGCAGTAAGGGGGAAGTTGGTCAATGGGATTTTGATTCCCATTGACCAAGAATCCCATGTTCTTTTTTTAGATTTATGTGGGGACCAGGGAAAGTTTATTTTCCTAGGTATCCTAGGTGGGTAAATAACTTTCCCACCTAGGAGAAAATTGCCAACACTTGAATGGGACAAAAATGCCCCTTTTAATAATTGATTTTTATGGTTAAAATGGCCATTGCCTTATTTACATGGGAAATAAAAGAACATGGGTAAATGCACTTATACCTGGGTAAGTCTTTCCTGGGAAACACTTACCCGAGTAAGTACATTTACCTAGGTAAATAATTTACTGAAAAGCGAACGGGGCCTTAGAGTTAGGCCTATTTAATGGGTTTAAAGTGCTAATAATCAACTGAAAATGTTCAAGAAAAGGGAGGATCAAAGTGATTATAGTATCAAGCATGTTGATACTTTGAACCTTGATTTCAATTATTGGATGATGCTCCCATATGTATCAAGTAGTTGCTATTGCAAGCTAAGAAATACAACAAGAAACACCACAATAGTTTAGATAAAAAATGACAATGGAGAAAATTCACAATTAGATTTCAAGTTAGAAATGAACTGTATATAAAGAAATAAAGAAACAACAATAAAATCATTCATTCATATGGCTCTCCAAAGCTGTGGTCTATACTGCAGAACTTTACCGTCTTGATGTGGATGATAACTACCTAAACCACTAAGAGGCACCCTTGTAGGCGAAGGACCAACCTAATTTCTTTGTAGCATCCACCAAATAGAGTAAGGACCACACAACTTTCCATTGTTGTCTGTTGAACAATATGATTTCATGGAAAGTTGAAACCAACAGCTGGAACCAGAAAAATCTCTCATTCATTGGAAATATGGCAATCATTTTTCGTGGCCTCTATCCTCCATTGTAGATGCAATATGTAACATTCTTTCCAGTTCTTCTGGGGGATTGTCATCTGGTTTTTTTTTTTCTATCAAAGATCATAGAAAAACATCCTGCAGGTTTCTTACCCTAGAATGAATAAGTAGTGGATCCTGAATATTCTTATGCCTAGAACTAACCTCTGATCTTCCTCATATAGCAGGAGGTGATGTGAACCTCAGAACCCAGCTGGTAGACATCTTACTTCAACGAGTAAGTTTTGTCAATCACTTCAATTACCAATGAATGTGGCGCAGCCTTCACAGGCTTCATATATATGCTATATTCACTTGTGCCTGATCTTCATGCAAACAAAAATGTAAGCCCAAAACCTAAACTCACCATCTTACCTTGTGAAACCAGAAGTAACCAGCAGTACACATCCAATAAGAGTATTCAATTCATTGTTAACATTAGAACAGCCTATGTGAGCTTTCTTCAATAAAATACATTGGCCTGTCACAACCTGCTGAAAGAGATAGAATTACTTCATCAGTATAATCCATACCTCAACATTTACATCTCTTCTTATGCAAAGAAAGAACAAAAGAAGACATGACAACCCCTTCTATAGGGTCTCATTGCACCAAACCACTGTAATCTTAATCTATGTCTACAAGAACCAGAGAAAAACCAAAGGAAAAAGAGATTTGGTTTGTTGGAAATATGAAAAGCTGAGATCTCTTCTTCTGTGTGAACCAAGAAAAATAAGTTGGAAGTGTTCGGTGTTCACGACTATCATCAATGTCCTGGGGCTGCAGTTACACCAATCAAAAATGGATATACACTCGATTTTTCATGCATGGTATAACAGGAGATGCTAAGACCCAGAATCTGCCCCTTCTTAAAGTAGCAAAGCAAATACATCAAAAAGGGTTTCCAGGTTGCAGCTAGCAGCAACAGTAGTGCAGTACTGGTACACTGAATAAACAGTGGGCAGAGAAAAGGACTTAACAGATTGAGGATGAATAAGAGAACTTTTAATGCTACCTCTTTTCTGGGTTTTGAATTTCTTTGTCTGGATTTAGAATGAGCACACAGAATCGAGTGTTTTGTGTTCGTTTTGCATGAAAATTTTGTAACTACTCTTCTTCATTTCTCTCAAAGGAATTACAAAAAGGCCATTTTTCTTTGCAAACAAACAAACAGAAAACTAAGTCTGAATGAAAAAAAAAAAGAAAATGGTGTGAATCTCAAGAAATCTTAATGTTCTTCGTTTTAGGATACCAAATTAAAATTATTAATTGGTAAGGTCCCCGCTTTTCGGACAGCAGTTCTTGGCAGATAACCATTAATTGGCTAATCAGACTGAAAATTCCCCTCCACAAGTGGAACAACAAAGGACTGATCTTGAGGGAAAGACTCAAACTAAGCCAACAAGGCTCTCTTTAGTTTCTCTTTTCCCCAACTAGTTATCTAAGTCTAATAAGCTCCCAAAAAGAGAGTAGTGAAGTGGTCACAGTCATAGATATCTTCATCTTGCCCAAGTTTTGGTGCAACCACACCAAATAGTTTAGGAAATTAAAATGGAAACAAAATCACCAAGAATCCTTAAGATACGTGTCTCGATTTTAACCAAAAAATTCATTTTGTCTGTGTTGAAATTTTTAAGAGAAATCCCACTTCTCATTCCTCAGTACTTGTGAATCTCTCTCTCTCTTTCTCTTTCTGAAAAGAGGGAAGAACTGCAAGAAATTAGGATAGAAAGTAGAGGAAAGCAGGAAGGTAGAAGGAAAGCGTACGTAAGGGGGGGCCACTTTGTAAAGAAAAAGAAGGATGTCAAATAATGAAATAACATAGTAGCAAGAGCTAGCAGCAAGCAAAAGCATTATTTAATATCCTTCCTTTTTTCTGTGTTGCAGAAGGGACGTGCAGTTTCTCTTTCTCTGCGACCTTTGGATTTATTCACAGTTCACACTTGCACTGTTTCACAGCACGCATTTATCTTTGGTGCTGCTTTGATTACGTCTGTCATTCACTCCTCCCCCTTTTATCTCCTAGGGTTTGTACTGTCACTGTCACGGCCTACAGAAAAAATAAATTTTCCTCATCCCCCATGTGGGTACCATGGTGAAGTATCCCCTCCCAACCAATAATAGAGATTAATGAAGGGTTCTCTCTCTCTCTAAGATGATGGTGATACTGAATACTGACTATGATGTTAGTTAGGGTGATGATGATAGTATTTTGGAAGTGGCACTTTAGGGCCCGTTTGTTAGATGGCAATCTAGTCTTTAAGAAACAGAGGTGACAGTTGAAGTCTTGTTGATAAGACCTATTTGGCAATGCAGGACTCCACAGCATTGGCAGTTCGTGGATACAATTGCAAGCATGGGTCCAAAAAAAAATGGAGGCATGGGCAATGAACATGGCAACATCAATCTGCTGTCTTGGAACAATGCCCCAACTAGCTAGTTAAGGAGTTGCTCTCATCAATTGTCATAAACAGAAAAAAGTTGTAATACTGGGTCACTTTTATAATTAAAGGGTATTATTCAAAATGGAGAGAGAGAGAGAGTACGTGGAGTTGGACCAGTTAGACTTGGTCACTGTTTGGATTGGGTAGGAAATAAGAGAGAAACAGAAATTTGAGAAAAAATTTGTAACAGTTCTTAAGAATTTTCTCTTATTTTCTATCAAACCAAACATAGTCTTAATGACCTCGTGCTAGCAGATCAATCATGTGCAGTAGAGGGATGCATGTATGCACTATTAATATTGAGTTGTTGGTCCTGTCTTACTTAACCAACAACAATAATGATCTTAAGGAATAAGGGAGGCCCTCCAATTCCTTGCCCATACACAAAACTAGTATTGGCTATAAATGTTAAATAGAGATTGCTATGCAAACATGAACTAACCAAAAAGCTTTGAGGATAAAATCATAAAATGTATTCAACTACTAAAAATGCCATTGGTCCCAGATTTTTTTTTGGTTGAGGGGTAGACTGAATATGATCCTAACCTTTGGCATTTTTTAGCACAAAGTGGCCACTTTCAGATGTCAATCTGCATTCTCACACTTGCCTGCAGCCTGAAACCTTACCATTTACACCAAGTAATGGCCCTTAAAAATTATGAGAAAATGACTACATCCAAAATGTAATAATTAGATTTAATAAGTGAAATACAAGGATAGTTAATATCTAATATTATTTCAATGGTCCTTATCTCATAACATCCTTTTATGAGATATTATAATGCTGCATTTGGTTTTGCCAAGAATTTTCTTCAACTTTCTGTTTCTATCAATCCAAACATTCTTCATTTGCTAACCAATCAGCAGCTTCTTTGGCCTCCCTCTATACATGCATGAACGTGAGTGGTCTTAGCCTCTTATAAGCATGTGCAAGCATTCCTATCAAATTTTTTATTCCCCATAAAGATTGAGTCTTCCTTAGGCAATCAATAATCAGCTTTGAATATGCTTCAGTAACAATCATAGTGTTTGAGTATTCACATGCCGCTTCTATGACATCCCATACTTGTATTTTACATTCAAAATTCAATTTTCCTAGGGTACTCACATGGATCATTGTTTGTTCTCCTAAAATTTGGGCTAAGGCCCGATTTTGTGATCTTCCTTCCGCGTATCGAGTGCATCCATGACTAATAGGGGTGCTCATAGTTTGGTTAAATAAATCATGGGCATATTTTGGAACCGAACCGGTATTACCAGTTTTTGGAAAACCGATAACCGGAACCAAATCAAAGCCAGTCGGTTAACCGGTTTGGTTAACTGTCGGTTTTTCCGTTTTTTTATTTTTACAATATATATTATAAAAATATATATAAATATATAATAAAAATTATAAATATATAAACTATTATATTTTAAATAATAAATAATATATAATATACATAAATATATAAAATAAATAATATATGTGTATATCGGTTGGTTCAGTTAACCGCCGATTTTCTATATTAATTAACCGAAACTGAACCGGTACCTTCAGTTTTTTAAAAACACCAAACCAAAACTGAATTGATCGGTTCGATTAACCGATTTTTCGATTTGGTTTGGCAAGTTTTTCCAGTCGGTTTGGTTTTTGGTTTTTTTTCTCACCCCTAATGATTAAAACATTGATTTGTGATA